AAAAATGTTCCACGTGGTCAGTGTTTGGGTCTGAACATTTAGAGTTGTGAATGTTTTGGTAATAAATCCCTAATAAATATTAAAAGACAATGGCTTGTTTCATTTGTTATATTTGAACCGGTAAACATACAAGAGAGTGTAACTGAATTTATAGAGATGGGTCTTCAGTAGCTGATATTTTACTTTAGAACAAAAGTCACAAGTAAAACAACATATAATGTGCATATTTCTGTGTTAAATAAGAAAACATAGTAGATAATAAACTGGTTCTTTATAGCGGAGCAGCTATTGCATTTTGCAGGAAACTTTCACGAGTGGAAAGAACTACCAAAATTGGCACAAATACTCCGTGGGGACTGTTATTTTGATAAAACCTATTAGCCACGCAAAAATCAAGATATGGCTGCCATTTTCAGGACAACCGTTTGTGTTGAATTGTCTAATATCATGATGTTGCAATCAATCCATACATTTTTGACCACAGAAAAGCTAGATTTCTAACTTTGGAGAGGTTAAAAAACTTCCTTCTACCATATTTCTGCCACTTAAAAAAAAATCTGCTTACTTAGCTCTGAACAAGGCATGAGCAGCGGCGGCCAGGCCACATTGTCATCATGGTAACGGCAATGAAACCTTAAGTGAGTCTTTGAAATAAAGAGTTCAGTCCTGAGGTCTTTGAAAGTCTTTTATTCTTTGCAAAAGGTCAGACAAACGTACAGAGAGCAACCAGTCTGGGAGTAGGAACCAACTGAGATGAAGGCCTATCAAGGACGGTCAGATATAATGCAGCATAAAAAGGTAAAACCCAGTAAAATATCACATTTCCATCACAGCGGACAAGACACGGAGGATTGAAGATGACTTTATTTTGTCCAAACAAACAGATGTAATGCACTGACACCACACAATAATAGAACAAAGACAAGGTTTTTACGACGCTTCACTTTTATTTGAATTTAATATAGAACAGGACTCGGCCAACATTGTTCCAGAAGGACTTCCAGATCAGCCTGGGTCGGCGCGGCTTTGCTTCTGAATTGTGCCGGGTGTTTGGACCCCGATACTTAGTTTTAAAATGAAACTATATATTTGAGGACTTTTAAAGAGTGACGTCTTCAATAGGAACCATTTACATTTAGCTGACGCTTTACAATTGCTATACATGTCAGAGGTCGCACGCCTCTGGAACAACGAGGGGTTAAGTGTTTGCTCAGGGACACAATGGCGGATGGGTCACAGTGGGGGATTGAACCCGAGTCTCTCACACCAAAGGCATAGTCTTCCAATGGGCTTGGAGCTGAGAGCCACAGACAAGAAGTCTGAAAAGACTAACACACTGTTGGTTTTGCTCTTTTCTTGTTGAGAATAATAAAAATAGTGTCTAATGTAATCTAATAATTCCAGCTGTATTGTTTAAAGGGAACATCACTAGAAAAGAGTAAAATCCTGGACTGAGCTGATGGTGGGTTGTGAGGCAGCTGAGATGAGCTCCTTGGAGGTCCTACTCTGCTCCCTGAGCTCCTTCCTCTTCAGTCGGCCCTCCTTCAGCTGCAGAAACACCCAGGTTATAATAATCCAGCTCGATGTCCTCCTGCCTGCCCGGCTTCTGCCCCCTGCTGGCCTGGAGAGACATGACAGCACACATGTGAGTTAGTGCATCACTCCTCCTCTTCTTCAGGTCAGTAAACACAGAGCGAGTGCTTCATCTCAGGCCTCTAAACAACAGACGTGTGTCAGTACCTTACGGTAGAAACAAAGGGCAGCGATCACCAACAGCAGAGTCAGCGGCAGGACGACCACTTTGATGAGAAGACCTGTTGGATCTGATCAAACACATGGACAGACATCACATCACACACCATCAGTCCATCAGCTATTGGAAGTATTCTAGTTTCCACTTGTAGTCCATTTATAGTAGCTTCTCTTACCACTGCTATGCAGACGATACGCAACTCTGCCTATCCTTCCTGTCAGACAACCCCACCATCTCGGTGGGTTGTGTGAAGCAAAAGAGGTGGAACGCATCAGCCCAAATGCAATCTGTGAACCCATGGGCTATTGTCTGATGATGAATTGGCTTTTGTTTTTGTTCTGATTCTTCTTATTTCTTTCTTTCATCTTTTTCTGTTTTGGCAGCAAAAACTGCTGGATGAAAACTCATCAAAACTGGCACGTAGGTTACAAATTCCACCAACTACTCAGGCAAAAAACCTCATGGTGGTGCTACAACAATCAACTTTACATTTTTGCAATTATCTTGAAACAGCTTTGTTTAGAGTCAACGTCTTTCATTATTTTCATCTCTGGATTCTCATGCATCTTTGCTCCAGTGGTCTGGTGACTTTTTATCACTTTTCTCTAAAATCTATTTTTGCGAACTCTTCCCGATGGTCTTGCCAATCGACCTGAAACTCATCTACGGACGTCGCTGATCAAAAGTTCTTAAAAGAATTTTGATAAGTCAATCTGTTTTTTTTCATAAACTTTTACTTTTTGTATTTACATAAAATTTTACATAAATGCCCGTAAATCAAAATTGGCTTAAGCTATTGTAACCAAACTTGACGTGTCTGCTCAGATGCTCGGCCCGAGCTTCTCTGAGCAGTCCTGGGATATTCTTCCTCTAGGTGGGGAGCTACACTTGCAAAAGTTTATACCTCGTAATTCGCTGGATGGATTCGTACAAAATTTGGTCTCATTTGATTAATGATTGCGCAAAGTGGGCGTGGTTAATTACCAAAAATGTAAATTTCTAGACTTTTCTCGTTAATCTTCAAAAAAGAAAATCATCTGTATGTCCTAGAGAGCACATCCACTGATTTGTGACTAACGGTTGCCTCACTGCAACCTATGGTCGACTCAGAAGTCAGTCATTTCAGAATATGCTAATTCAATTTACATCTATATCTCCACAAGTCTTTCTTCAAACGCTACCAAACTCGACAGAGTCGAGATGGATGATAGAAGTGTTTCAAAGGGTTTTCAGATCGGTCAGTTCAATTCAATTCAATTTTATTTATATAGCGCCAAATAACAACAACAGTTATCTCACAGCGCTTTTCATAAAAGAGCAGGTCTAGACCGTACTCTGTGATGCTATTTACAGAAGCCCAACAGTTCCCACCAAGAGCAGCACTAGGAGACAGAGGCAAGGAAAAACTTCCTTTTAAGACTTAGGGTGGGCGGCCATCTGCCTCGACCGGTTGGGGGTGAAGGAGAGAGAGAGAGAGAGAGAGAGAGAGAGGAGAGTGAGGGAGGCAGCCTACACAATATACACACAGAGGTACAGACAGTAAAGGTGATGTTTCTATAGACTAAATGAAAAATGGTCAAATGGTGAGTCTGCAGTGATATTTAGTATCTTGCTGTAACTTGTACAGTATGCACAAATTTTCTTTTTTCTCAGTTTTGGCCACCAAAATAATTAACACACACACAGAATGATGTGTGATTTTGTTCAGAATTTTCTCACTAACATCTTGTAGGCGTTTTAAGTTTAAACAGAAAAAAACTACCTGGTCTGGCACATGTGACGTCACTACCTCAACTTGTGAAAAGGAGTGTGTCAGTAAGTTACCTACTCTGGACATCTGAAGCTCCAGGGTTCAACTCCCCAAGTAATCGAAGCAGACTTGCTCACAATGGGGGTGTTCAGATCATAGTGGGTGTAAGATCTCTATTTTTGGATCCCGACACTTTCTTCTTATTTTTCTCTGCTAAAAAGATTATGCAGCTTAAACTTTAAATCTTGGAAACAAAAAATGTTGCAGATGGGTTGAACATTTCACCTAGTAGTCAGATACATATAATGACACTCTCTGGTGATGCTATAAAAATCAAGTTTTTTTTTATTTATCTCAAAGTCCAAATTCTTTCATCACTTTAATCTCTGAAGTGTCTGTGTCTGTTCTTCTCCTCTGAAAATTTCATATGTTGCGTTTTTCGCGACTGTCTTGGATCCCAATCATTGCCGCTTGCGGCAATATTTAAAAATGTATCTGCATTTAAATCGTCAGGCGACAGACAATGGGTTCCCAGATTTGTCTGACAGAGACTTATCTCTTAATCTTCACTAATTCCACTTCATAATTACTTCGTAAACATTCGACTCAATATGGTCCATCTGTCTACTCTGTAAAGAGATCTATTTACTGCCTAAAAATTTGTTTATCTGAATCGAGGCTCTAAGGACAGAGGGTGTCCTTTGTTGTACAGACCTGAATATCTGAATATTTTTCTGTATTCTATTTTTAATTTTGTGATTTCATTATTTGTTTTGTTTCGCACATCTGACATCCTTTTACAGCAGTGAACATCACGCTTCAGTTCACTTTGAAGGGAAAACAAACTACTGAAAACTCAGCTGTGTGGGAGCACTTTAAATTCAGTGATTTTGGCATTTTGGCAGTTATGGGTTTAATAATTTTACAATTTTTATTTCATTGCAGACAGAAAAGTTAAAAGCCTACATTTTAATGTTAATCGAAGTTAAAAGCAAAGTAAGCATGTATTGTTTTAGTAACGCTACAGGAAAGCGTTTATCCTGTGTCTCCCTGGGCCCCCCCCAGCTATACTACCTGGATTCTGCTCTGGACCTGTTCAGCTCAGCCTCTCACACTCTCATTATGCTACGGATCCCCCCTGCCCTGCACAGCAGCCACCAACCTGGTTCTGCAGGCATCTAGCCTTCCACACTGCTTCGCTCTTCCCCGGCTCAATATCCTGTCCCTTCAACCCTGCAATATATATTCATCTATCTCCAGTTTCGTCCCTTTCTTCGTCCTGCACTTGGGTCTGCTAGCCTACCAATCTAACCTTAACAACGTTTTGGTAACCTACACCATGAGAATGAAGAAAGAGAGCACTTTCTCTCTCTCTCTCTCACACACACACACACATCGTTATCTCTCCCGCATCTGATTCTCCCTCTCTCAAGTCATTGCCTGTGCCAGAACTTCTGCTCCGATCTATCCATCTATCAAAGAAATAGATCTAGCTATATGTATAATCTACACTGCTCAAAAAAATAAAGGGAACACTTAAACAACACATGTAACTCCAAGTCAATCACACTGCAAGCAACACTGATTGACAATCAATTTCACATGCTGTTGTGCAAATGGAATAGACAACAGGTGGAAATTATAGGCAATTAGCAAGACACCCCCAATAAAGGAGTGGTTCTGCAGGTGGTGACCACAGACCACTTCTCAGTTCCTGTGCTTCCTGGCTGATGTTTTGGTCACTTTTGAATGCTGGCGGTGCTTTCACTCTAGTGGTAGCAGGAGACGGAGTCTACAACCCACACAAGTTGCTCAGGTAGTGCAGCTCATCCAGGATGGCACATCAATGCGAGCTGTGGCAAGAAGGTTTGTTATGTCTGTCAGCATAGTGTCCAGAGCATGGAGGCGCTACCAGGAGACAGGCCAGTACATCAGGAGACGTGTAGGAGGCCGTAGGAGGTCAACAACCCAGCAGCAGGACCGCTACCTCCGCCTTTGTGCAAGGAGGAGCAGGAGAAGCGCTGCCAGAGCCCTGCAAAATGACCTCCAGCAGGCCACAAATGTGCATGTGTCTGCTCAAACGGTCAGAAACAGACTACATGAGGGTGGTATGAGGGCCCGACGTCCACAGGTGGGGGTTGTGCTTCCAGCCCAACGCCGTGCAGGACGTTTGGCATTTGCCAGAGAACACCAAGATTGGCAAATTCGCCACTGGCGCCCTGTGTCTTCACAGATGAAAGCAGATTCACACTGAGCACATGTGACAGACGTGTCTGGAGACGCCGTGGAGAACGTTCTGCTGCCTGCAACATCCTCCAGCATGACCGGTTTGGCGGTGGGTCAGTAATGGTGTGGGGTGGCCTTTGTTTGGGGGGCCGCACAGCCCTCCATGTGCTCGCCAGAGGTAGCCTGACTGCCATTAGGTACTGAGATGGAATCCTCAGACCCCTTGGGAGACCATATGCTGGTGCGGTTGGCCCTGGGTTCCTCCTAATGCAAGACAATGCTAAACCTCATGTGGCTGGAGTGTGTCAGCAGTTCCTGCAAGAGAAAGGCATTGAAGCCATTGCTATGAAATGGCCCACCCGTTCCCCAGACCTGAATCCAATTGAGCACATCTGGGACATCATGTCTCGCTCCATCCACCAACGCCACGTTGCACCACAGACTATCCAGGAGTTGGCGGATGCTTTAGTCCAGGTCTGGGAGGAGATCCCTCAGGAGACCACCTGCCACCTCATCAGGAGCATGCCCAGGCATTGTAGGGAGGTCATTCAGGCACGTGGAGGCCATACACACTACTGAGCCTCATTTTGACTTGTTTTAAGGACATTACATCAAAGTTGGATCGGCCTGTAGTGTGGACTCCGAATCCAGACCTCCATGGATTGATAAATTTGATTTCCATTGTCAGCACATTCAACTATGTAAAGAAAGGAGTATTTAATGAGATTATTTCATTCATTCAGATCTAGGATGTGTTATTTTAGTGTTCCCTTTATTTTTTTGAGCAGTGTATATATATATACACACACACAGGTGCTGGTCATATAATTAGAATATCATCAAAAAGTTGATTTATTTCAGTAATTCCATTCAAAAAGTGAAACTTGTATAATGTATACATTCATTCCACACAGACTGATATATTTCAAGTGTTCATTCCTTTTTAATTTTGATGATTATAACTGACAACTAATGAAAACCCCAAAATCAGTATCTCAGAAAATTAGAATATTGTGAAAAGGTTCAATTTTGAAGACACCTGGTGCCACACACTCAGTCTAGCCCTGTAGGCTACACAATCATGGGGAAGACTCCTGACTTGACAGCTGTCCAAAAGACGACCATTGACACCTTGACAAGGAGGGCAAGACACAAAAGGTCATTGCTAAAGAGGCTGGCTGTTCACAGAGCTCTGTGTCCAAGCACATTAATAGAGAGGTGAAGGGAAGGAAAAGATGTGGTAGAAAAAAGTGTACAAGCAATAGGGATAACCGCACCCTGGAGAGAATTGTGAAACAAAACCCATTCAAAAATGTGGGGGAGATTCACAAAGAGTGGACTGCAGCTGGAGTCAGTGCTTCAAGAACCACCACGCACAGACGTATGCAAGACATGGGTTTCAGCTGTCGCATTCCTTGTGTCAAGCCACTCCTGAACAAGACACAGCGTCAGAAGCGTCTCGCCTGGGCTAAAGACAAAAGGACTGGACTGCTGCTGAGTGGTCCAAAGTTGAAAGTAAATTTTGCATTTCCTTTGGAAATCAAGGTCCCAGAGTTTGGAGGAAGAGTGTAAAGTTTCCACAGTCAGTGATGGTTTGGGGTGCCATGTCATCAGCTGGTGTTGGTCCACTGTGTTTTCTGAGGTCCAAGGTCAACGCAGCCGTCTACCAGGAAGTTTTAGAGCACTTCATGCTTCCTGCTGGTGACCAACTTTATGGAGATGTAGATTTCATTTTTCAACAGGACTTGGCACCTGCACACAGTGCCAAAGCTACCAGTACCTGGTTTAAGGACCATGGTATCCCTGTTCTTAATTGGCCAACTGGCCTGACCTTAACCCTATAGAAAATCTATGGGGTATTGTGAAGAGGAAGATGCGATACGCCAGACCAACAATGCAGAAGAGCTGAAGGCCACTATCAGAGCAACCTGGGCTCTCATAACACCTGAGCAGTGCCACAGACTGATGGACTCCATGCCACGCCGCATTGCTGCAGTAATTCAGGCAAAAGGAGCCCCAACTAAGTATTGAGTGCTGTACATGCTCATACTTTTCATGTTCATACTTTTCAGTTGGCCAACATTTCTATATATCCTTTTTTTGTATTGGTCTTAAGTAATATTCTAATTTTCTGAGATAATGAATTTGGGATTTTCATTAGTTGTCAGTTTTAATCATCACAATTAAATGAAATAAGCATTTGAAATATATCAGTCTGTGTGTAATGAATAAATATAATATCCAAGTTTCACTTTCTGAATGGAATTACTGAAATAAATCAACTTTTTGATGATATTCTAATTATATGACCAGCACCTGTATATAACCTATAACGTCCGTTGCTAGGCAACCAGGTGTTGCACGAATGTTAATCTTTAAATATTTATTGTGATTACTACCCAAGCTCCAAAGCTCAAAACATGGTATTCAGGCCTGCCTTATGGCCTGCAGAAATAAAACTTGACTTTGGTGAGACTTTTACATGTGGGCTGACGTGGGTGTTTCCCTACCACACTAGTACGCAGGTCCTCTGCATCTCTGAGTGGGAGTTAAACATGCCCAGGCATCGCTCACTGACTCTGTGACTACTGACTGTGACTACTCCATCAATAACTCTGCAACAGAGCTTCAGGGTGTCGGTGGCCTCAAAAACCGACCCCTGCCTTTCCCAACTGCAAAGCCCAGAGACAAAACGGCTTTGGCTAGTGCTAGCAACAAACAGTAGATCTCCTCGTAACACATACATAGCATTTAGAAAAAATGCTGCAGAGTGAAAAAAAAACCAAATAGCCTACACAACTGCTGCATTTAGCACAGAAGACAATGGAAACTGGTTCCGGGGGATACTAGTGATGAACACATCAGGCACAGCAGGGACATGCCACCAAAACTTACATGTCAGCTCAGTTTCCAGTGTGTTGAGCTCTCAGCGCCATGACAGCAGTCACAGTGTCACTCAGAAACACAACATGCTGGAAACTGTCAGCTGATCATGTTCAGTCAGTGCAACGTTTCAGCTGCTCTGCTTCAGCTTACCTGAGACAGTGAGCGACAGCCGACGGCTCTCAGAGGAGAAGTTATGAGAAAAAACCAAGAGGTGATAAACACAGCTGTAGCTTCCTTGGTGGCGGGCTCTGCAGCAGGAACAGGAAGTCGACAGAGTGATTGACAGCTGGCTGGGTGTAGTTGTGTGACGTGATGGAGGAGGCGAGCTGGAAGGAGCCTCCTGGGTACTGTGGCTGGATGGAGCAGCTGATGGTGAAGTTGGAGCCCCTGGACACCTGAAAGCCCTGCTGCTGGGCCTCGGAGACCCTGTCCATGGAGGAGGCCAGAGAGATGTTGGGCTGAAGCAGCAGGTCTGTAAACACACAGATGATGAAAGGTCACATTCACACTCCGTTCAACAAAATGGCACCTAAAGAAGGAAGTGATTTCACAGGTCTGACACAGGTAACAAACATGGAGCAGAGCGATGACAGACAAGGCCACCTCTGTCATGATTGATGATAGTGTCAGCAAAACACAGAAAAATGGAAAGCATGTACGAAATTACGAGCATGATGTTGTGGTGGCAGCCCGGCTGGCTGTTAGTGAGTGTTTATTTCTCCTTTCTCCATCTCTGCCTGTATTTCAACCCTGGTTCTCCACACAATCTCCGCTTGATCGTTGTTGCTGCTGACCTGGTGCCACCACACTCCTCCACCAACCCCCCGGTCAGTTCTCCCGTGCCTCCTCTCTTCCTCAGTCCCCGGTGCCCCCCAGCTCCCTCGTCTCAGCCCCCTCTGCCCTACTTGCTCCTCAGTCCCCCATGCCCGTGTTCCCCCGGCATCCACCTCTTCCTCACCGCCACTCCCCCAGCTCTTTTTCCCTTAAAAAAACCTTTTTTTAGTCGTTGTGTTGCATTTGGGTCTTCTCTGTCCAACAAACAACAGAATGATCAAGTCAACATGGACCCAGCACGTTCACCCTCACCCCCCCCACCAATCCCACGGACCTTGAGAACTTGTTTTTGGAAATCATGGACGATTTATTGTTTGTGTTTTGAGAATTGTCATGAGACGCTGGAGGCGATAGCCCGTTTTGAGAAGGCTCTAGACCGACAGTTTTGCCTTATGAAAGCTCCTGGTGTGGCAAGGGTGGTTTTGGAGGCAGACCTTCTCAAAGGAGCCCTGCTTACAGCTCTGAACTTCCCCAGTGCTCCTAATGCTGGCCTTAGCATGGGGCCTGCTGGTCCTCTACCATCGTCCATGCCTGTTTGTGCCACACCTTGCTCTGCTAGCCCCCAGCCCAGTTCCCCAGCCCGCTAGAGCTGCTAGTCCCTCCTAGTCCTGGGCCTGCTAGCGCCGCTAGTCCCCAGTCTGCCCCTCCTGATCCCCGGCCCGCTAGCACCGCTAGCCTCCAGACTGTCCCTCCTGATGGTCAGTCTGCCTCCTGGGCAGCAAAAAACCTTGACCACCACCATCTGTTTGAGTGGACTCGCCTGGCCATCTTCTCTGGGTTCCGTGGTGGTCATAGGAGGAGACGTGGCCATCATGGTTCCCACAAACATCAACACCCGCCACCTGCCCTTGGTGTAAAGTCTCCCATGACCCAGCCCAATTACACTGCAGATATCAAACTCCCGAGAGACCTTAGTACCTGATCTCACTGGGGTGGTCACTGTCCAAACTGGTCCTCAGTCGGAGGACCGACCGACCGACATCAACTCCGTTGATGGTCCAGCCGATCCCTGCTCCTCGTGTCCTGTCGGAAGACTGACCAACACCAGCCCCATTGGTGGCCCGGCCGACCCCTTCTCCTCGTGCCCCATCAGTGGTCGGGCAGACTCCCGTGCCCGCCGTCCTCTGTCGGAGGACCGATCGACACCAGCCCTGTCGGTGGTCCGGCGAACTCCTGCTCCTCATGCCCAGTTGGTGTAGGCCTTTCCTGGTGAATGCAGCAAGCCGAGGTCCAATAATATAAGGTCAAATATATAATAATTCCACTGTGCTAATGTCCATGTTCAGTAACAACCTGCTTTGATGATTGTATAACTGTGACTCCTCGCTATACTACATCCTAACCTATTCTCTATTGGTGTTTTAATTGTGAGCCGATGCAGCCGCAGCCAACATGGGCACTGCCACGTAAGATATGAGATGAAAGAAAAGATATAAACAATCCCACTTTAGGACGTCATTGTCCTGGAGAACTTCACAGTTTAGTCCAATGGAAACCACTGGCTGACACTGAGGCAGAGGAGAGAATACACTGGAAACTTTACTGTCATACATTATATCATAGATCAGGGGTCTCAAACTCAAATCATCCAGGGGCCACTTTGGTACTGTGTTCTCATAGGAGGGCCACAGCAGCAGTACTCCAAGAAAGAGCAATATTCTCAAAATGTACTTATTTTATTACCATAACCAAAATATTTTGAACATTTTCATGTGTTTTTCTGAAATACATTGTGAATTAAAGCTGTCTGATAATTGTACTGAATTCAAAAAGTACAAAACATACGTTGCCTTGACGGAGGTTGCAGTTGGAACCCTGAGTAGCTACAGCTTCAATATGGGCATCAGTTAGTAAGTCTGGACCTGTACTTTTCAGTTCATAGTTGAGAAAACAATCTTACACTTTGGACAGTTCTGGGAAGGATGGAGATACAGTAAGTCTCAGAAATTGTCCAATATGATCTGCTTTTTCCTGTGCCTCCCTGAATGTGGTTTTTAGTTCATTGTTACACTGCAAGTCAATAAGTACCATTTGCAACAGACAACGATGCGATGGACTGGCAACCTGTCCAGGGTGTACCCCGCCTTTCACCCGATGTCAGCTGGGATTGGCTCCAGCCCCCTGTGACCCTGTACACAGGATAAGTGGTTGACGATGGATGGATGGATGGATGTTACACTACAAGTGAGTAATGCAGTTTCAGCACTCTTCTTGGCTTTATGAAAAAGATTTGGCAGAGATATAAATCCTCTCTGTAGCTGCGTGGCTGTTGTCCTTTCATCTCCCTGGTACTTCTTGTTGCTCTCCGTGTTTAGTCCATAAATGACATTTGATATTATATTTCTTTAAAATGGTAACTTTTTCGTTGCATATCAGGCAGGTAATTTTTACTGTTAAACTCCAAAAAAATATCCTAAGCTACTGCTTTGTCCATCTTTCTTGAAACAACCTTTGCTTATCATCCACCTTACGTTTCAATTTGAACAGCAACATCTTTCTTCTTCACCCAATAGTGGGCATTTGAGGCCACCTTACCTTTCACCTTTGCCATGACAAACAAATTGGTAGCTGATTTGACATGAAACAACTATAAATATAATTTAAAAATAATAATTTGGCTGGCCAGATTTTTTTTCCCCAATCACCCGCGGGACAGACCGAGGGGTACAGAGTACCGTATGTGGCCTGCTGGCCTGGAGTTTGAGACCCCTGTCATAGATGGTGTCACTGATGGGCTTACCTGAGCAGGTAACAATCAGGATGAAGGAAGAGGAAGTTGATGATACACACTCCCTCAGAGCAGATCCAGACTGAACACAGTCAGAGCTGATCCACCACACAGGTCTGTCTGAGGACTCCTTTCTCTGTCCTACAGAAACAGCAGAGCCACAGTCCAGCTCTCTACAGACACCAGCTGCTGTCTTCAGGGTCCAGACAGAGACACTCCCTGGTCTCCAGTCTCCCTCATGTTTCACCTCCAGTGTTCCTGCACAGCGACTGGCTTCTCTGGCCAACCTGACATCATCAGGCTCTGAACAGAAACCAGAGAGTCATCAGTAAAACAATAAAGTGAGTTTCATCAGAACAGAAATGAAGCAAATCAAAGCTGCAGCTCCTCTTCTACCTGAGCAGGTGAGTCCAACAGCTTTTCCAGGTGAGCAGGTGTTTCTAGCTGAGCCTGAGCTTCTACAGTCCAGGAGAGCAGACTCATGGCCTCCACACTGGAACTCTTTGGTCCACATCGGAGCCTCCACTTCTCCATAGAGCGCCCCCTGGAGGACTGAAGGAGCCCCACAGCCGAGCTCCCTACAGACCACCTCTGCATCCTGCTGGTCAAAGTCAGCTTCACACACTGAGGACCACCACTGGTTAGACTGGTTAGACTGGTTAGACTTCACCTCCAGTCTGCCTGAGCACAGACTAGTCCCGTCCAGCAGCCTGACAGAGTCTGGAGGGATAATAGAAGATGAAATAGAGATAAAGACAGCAGACACAAAAGAAAAACATGTCATGAAACAACAATTCAGTGATTCAAGGTGGACTCAGCACAACTCCAACATCAGTTCATCATTAACAACAGAACACATCTTTCTACCAGCACAGACTGCAGCAAGTTCACCAGCACATTTCCATTTAATACTCTGTCACACTTGTTCTCCACGTCTGAACACTTTCAACATGTTTCCAAACAACAGCACAACTTGGGGCGGCTGTGGCTCAGGAGGTAGAGCGGGTTGGTTTTTAATTGAAAGGTTGGCGGTTCAATCCCTGTCTCCCCCTGGTTGCGTGTCGAAGTGTCCTTGGGCAAGATACTACTGAATACTGAACCCCGAATTGCCCCTGGCGGCTATTCCGCCAGTGTATGAGTGAGTGTGAATGTTAGTTTCCGTTTGAGCACTTAGGCTCAGTGTATGAATGTGTGTGACTGGTGAATGCAGATGTAGTGTAAAAGCGCTTTGAGTGGTCGAAAAGACTAGAAAGGCGCTATACAAGTACGGAGCATTTATAACGTCATCATCTGCAGATTTCTCTGCTCTGTTCCTTCTGCTCAGCTACTCCACAATCTTTGCTTTGCCCCACACAAACAAGTTCAACACTTTTCATTCTGTCTTAATGTTCTAAGAAGAACCCAGAAGAAAAAGCTGCTTAGAAAATGCTCAAACAACTCTAACAGGTTGTTAGAGTTGGCCCGGCCGACCCCTTCTCCTCATGCCCCGTTGGTGGTCCGACCGGTATCTGTTCCGCCTGTGGTCCAGCCTACCCCTGCTCCTCGTGCCCCGTCAGACGACCGACCGACATCAGCCTTGTTGGTGGTCCGGCCGACCCCTGCTCCTTGTGCCCAGTTGGTGGATCGATCGGTTTCAACTACACCAGCGATCCAACCGAGTCCTGCTCCTCGTGCCCTGT